AAACGACCCTGTCACAGGGATCGCCTAAGACCATCCTGCATATCAGATATTTACATGACGATTCATCACAGTAGCAACATGACAGTGATGAAGTAGCAACGAAATCAATTTTATGGTTGAGTCACAACATGAGGAGCTGTATCTAAAGGGCCAGAAGGTTGAAAACCACTGATCTAGAAGGAGAGCTTCAGACTGGAGATGCCCATGACGTGGCCACCAGCGCGGACGCTGGGTCTGCTGTGGACGGGCACGCTCAGGTCCCGGCGTTGTAGGCACTGGGGACCAGGGAGGGGCATGGGGGCCGTGTGTGTCCTAAAGGCAGAAGGACGAGTCGTGGTTGGTCCACAGCAGGACGAGATGGGGCGGACCCTGGGGACCAAGGAGGGGACATGAGGGCCGTGTGTGTCCTAAAGGCAGAGGAGGAGTCGTGGTTGGTCCACAGCAGGACGAGATGGGGAGGGGACAGCCCGGCAGGCGCCCAGGTTCCCGTGGGGGAGTGGGGAGTGGAGTGGAGTCCGACAGGTGCTTCTCGGCCTCCCTGAGCCTGAGGCTCTGGTGGGAGGTGCGGTCAGACAGCAGACTAGCTCCCCCAGGTGTGTCACGCGGGGGCAGACTTCACATGGGTGTTACCTGGGCAGAGACCCTGTGCTCCCTGAGGCAGACAGGGATTCGTGGCTCTGCACGTGGCTCAGGGGTTTGAGGCTGGAGCCAGGCCTATGAGTGGGAAGGGAAGCGCTGGAGGCTTAGGTACGTGGGAACTCGTGGCGCATCCTAGAGGCCACGTGCAGTGCGGGGCGTGCGGTGGGTAGATCAGCCGTGTGCCAGGGGTCTGGTGCGCGCCCTGGCTGCCCAGGGCCCTGGCACTGGGAGGTTAGGACAGAAGGGATGCCAGGCAGATGTCTGCTGGGTCCGGCACCTGTCGCTCCAGGTGGGGCCCCACGATGAAGGGTGGAGGGTGGATGTGGGTGGTGACGGGTCCTGGGGGGAGGGTGCTGCTGACGGCCCCCCCGCTGTCCCCCTCACAGGGCCCCGTGACCTTCGAGAACGTGGCCGTGTTCTTCTCCCTGGAGGAGTGGGGGCTCCTGGACGAGGCTCAGCGGGTGCTGTACTGCGACGTGATGCTGGAGGTCTGCACGCTGGTTGCCTCGCTAGGTAAGGTCCTCACACGCCCCCTCTGCCTTCCCCCTGCCTTCCCCATTGTTCCCCAGGCAGCTCTGCTCTCCTCACAGCTGGGCCCTGCGGGGGGCCCTGTCGCAAGTTCTTAGACGGGTCCGTGAGCCCCGCCTCCGGCTGCAAATAGCCCGGCACCAGGGAAGGTCTGTGGGTCAAGAGACTTGGGGCTGGTCCCACGCGGGACTCAGCCACTCCCTGCCCCCAGGCCACCTCTGCTCCAGGTCCTGCCCCTGTAGCTGGCACTTCTGGGGTCTGAATGCACCAGGACGCACAGGAACCCAACATCCTCCCCTTTGGGGTGGGGAGGGGCATTTGGGTGTCTCTGTGGTGCCCTCCTCGGAGCTTCCAGGGCAATGAGGTGTTGGGTTAGTGTGGCTCTGGGCCGGTGCTCACCGCTCACCTGACCTGTGCCTGCTGGTCGCACAGGGGTCCAGGGGGGGCTGGGAGGACAGTCCTGGGCCCAGGACGGAGTGGACACTCTGCGGGCACAGCAAGAGGACTCAGCTGTGGCTGGGCCTGGTATTTTACATTTTTTTTTTTAATATATTTTATTGATTTTTTACAGAGAAGAAGGGAGAGGGAATGAAGAGAGAGAACCACCCATCAGCTGCCTCCTGCACGCCCCCCACTGGGGACCGACCCCACAACCCGGGCATGTGTCCTGGACTGGAATCGAACCCGGGACCCTTCAGTCCGCAGGCTGATGCTCTATCCAGTGAGCCACACCAGCCAGGCTGACTCCCCATTCTTGGCACCTGTGCACCTTTCATTTCTGACTTCTGACGCTGTATTACCCTCACCTCTCGCACCCTATTCTCCACTGCGCCCTTTGCCGTGCGCCCCAGTATTGGCCCCACTTAATTAACGTGTTATGGGGTCTGCGCCTCTGTCCCTGAATAGCCCTGGCACCCCAGCTCCTCAGCGGAGTCGGATTTTCCTGGGCCACCCTCCCCCGCAGCACACGTGTCAGCAGCAGCACTGGCCCAGGTGAATTGTGTGCAGAGGCGTGAGTTGTGGACCTGCCTCGTCCTGTGTCTTCGGCCGAGGGATCCCCTGTGCTGCCCCATTTAGCGGCCTGTTATGCACAGAGCCCTCCTTCAGCCTCGGTTAGGGATCCCCGTGGACTCACTCCTTGGTGGGCAGACACACTGACGGGGCTGCCTCCACCCCACCCACACCCGCGTTTCTCTGCTTCCAGGTTGGCACAGGGCAGAGGATGAAGACGCAGCCTCTGAGCAGAATGTCGCTGAAACGTCACAGAGAAACACTCCAAAGGCAGGTCTGTCCACGCAGGAGGCCGACCCCTGGGAGATGTGTGGCCCGGCCTCAGAAGGCGGTTCACCCCTGACTGACAGCCTCGGGGAAACTGAGCAGGAACTGCCTGGGGCACCTGGGAAAGGTCGCCAGCTCCAGCACAGTGGAGAGGAACTCTCCAGAAGGAACACAGACCGGGCCTCCTGCGGGAAGAGCTGCACAGCCCGTGCCTCAGAGGAGCCGTTCACGTGCTGGGAGGCTGGGAGGGCCTCCCCCACCAACTCCCGCTTCTACCCGCTACCACACAGTAAGCGTGCGGAGGCCTTTCACCCGGGACAAAAGCACTACGTGTTCAGTGACTGTGGGAAAGGCTTCTGCAAAAAGTACGGACTTGCTCAGCACCAGAGAATTCACAGTGGAGAGAGGCCTCACCGATGCAGTGAATGTGGGAAAAGCTTCAGCTACAAACACACACTTGTTCGGCATCAGCGGACTCACACTGGAGAGAGGCCGTACAAGTGCAGCGAGTGCGGGAAAACCTTTAGCTACAAACACACGCTTGTTGGGCACCAGCGAGTTCACACGGGAGAGAGGCCGTATCAGTGCAGCGAGTGTGGGAAATTTTTCAGCCATAGCTGCAGCCTTAGCGAGCATCAGAGAATCCACACTGGGTCACGGCCTTATAAATGCTGTGACTGTGGAAAATTCTTTACCTCCAACTCCAACCTCCTAAAACACCAGAGAGTTCACACAGGAAGGAGGCCTTACGAGTGCGGCAAGTGTGGGAAATGTTTTACCCAGAGTCCCAGCCTTATTATACATCAGAGGATCCACACTGGTGAGAGGCCCTATGAGTGCACTGAGTGTGGCAAGGTGTTTAGCCAAAGTTCCACCCTCAGCAAGCACCAGAGAGTTCACACAGGAGCCAGGTCTTACAGGTGCAGTGAGTGTGGAGAGTTCTTCAGCCAAAGCACCCAACTGGCCCGGCATCGGAAAGGTCACGTCAGAGACAGGCCTCAGGGGTGCAGCAGGTGTGGGTAGGTCTTCCTGCAGGATCCACTCTTACCCAGCACCAGGAACTTCATGTCCCAGGCAGACTGTGGCTGCCGCTAATGTGGGAAAGTCTTCAGGGGGAAGTCTACCTCGCTCAGCATCAGAAATGTCACAGTGGAGAAGGGCCTGGGCATGAGATGGGATAGCAGGGAGTGAGCTCTCTGTCACACAACATGAAAAAATGAAAAAACCCTGTAGCTACAACCTCGCTTCTGACCCCTGAGCCACAGCTGACAACACAGTTCTTCGGGCTGGCATTGGGCACCTTCGGAGAGGCCCCCGGCGGGGCTCGGGCCGGACAGACGGGTACCACGGGGGAGCGAGGCAGCAGCTGACATGTTTTCTTTCTTTTTTAAAAAATATATTTTATTTTTACGGA